GCTGAATTATTTTCATTGTGCTTGAATACTTGGTGTTCCAATGTTGCTGAATTATTTTCATTGTGCTTGAATACTTGGTGTTCCAATGTTGCTGAATTATTTTCATTGTGCTTGAATAATTGGTGTTCCATTGTTACTGAATTATTTTCATTGTGCTTCAATACTTGGTATTCCATTGTTACTGAATTAATTTCATTGTGCTTCAATACTTGTTCCATTGTTACTGAATTATTTTCACTGTGCTTGAATACTTGTTCCATTGTTACTGAATTATTTTCACTGTGCTTGAATACTTGTTCCATTGTTACTGAATTATTTTCACTGTGCTTGAATACTTGGTGTTCCATTGTTACTGAATTATTTTCACTGTGCTTGAATACTTGGTATTCCATTGTTACTGAATTAATTTCATTGTGCTTGAATACTTGGTGTTCCATTGTTACTGAATTAATTTCATTGTGCTTGAATACTTGGTATTCCATTGTTACTGAATTAATTTCATTGTGCTTGAATACTTGGTGTTCCATTGTTACTGAATTATTTTCATTGTGCTTGAATACTTGGTGTTCCATTGTTACTGAATTATTTTCATTGTGCTTGAATACTTGGTATTCCATTGTTACTGAATTATTTTCATTGTGCTTGAATACTTGGTATTCCATTGTTACTGAATTATTTTCATTGTGCTTGAATACTTGGTATTCCATTGTTACTAAATTATTTTCATTGTGCTGTTGGTATTCATAACTTACTAATCCAGGGACTAAAGTTGATAAAATCTTTTTACATGCTGCTTTGTAGTTGTTCCATTACTAGTAAATTATTTTCATTTTATTTCAGGTATTCATAATTTACTAGTCCTGAGTCCAAAGTTTTGGTGTGTTTCTAGTCCAGCACTAATGAATTGTTTGTTTTCCAGTGAAGATGCAGCCAAGAAAGCTGCTAGGAAAACGGCTAGAATATTACAAAAGCTAGGTTTCAGGATCCGATTCACCAACTTTAGAATCGTCAATGTGCTGGGCACCTGTACAATGCCTTTTAAAATCAATATTGTGAAATTTTCAAGGGAGAACAGGGATCATGCAAGGTATGTTATTTTTATTTGTTTATTGTATTCTTTCTAATTATATTACAGTTTACACCTAGGAAGTGTAGTGTTACTTGGATGTTGTAAATCGGCATATTTACATAATAAGTTTTCTCTGTATTTCTATAGTACTTTTAAGTTTATTTAGTTGCTATAAATTATTTAATACTTTAACTTAAATACACAAATCTCTCTGTTATACGAATAAGGTGGGGAAGAAACATCAGTTTTTTTAATGTGTTTCTTTTTCACAACATATTACTTTAATTATTGTACAACTTAAGGTTCAGTGTATTTTGCATGGCAGGAAAGAAATTTTTAATTATGCTTTATCTCTTGCAATAATTTTCTTCTTTTTTCCTCTGAGTTTTAAATTAATTCAGGATTCTTCAAGTTTTGACTCATAACTCAGTTAAGATTATTATAGTTATGAACAAACTACTCTTGATTTAAGCCTACATTTAAGAAGCTATTGAAGTGTTCTAGATAATTCATTGAGGATTCATTACAGCAGTGTCTACAGTGGTGGAAAAGTTTAATGCACCATCCAGTTTTTTCACCATTTTCTTTTCAATTGTCTATTTTGAAGCCCTAATTCGTGGAGGTGAAAATGTGTTTTGTGGATGGTACTGTCAGATTATTACATCAGCAGCTAGCCCTAATTTGTAGGTGAAAATGTGTTTTATGGATGGTACTGTCAGATTATTACATCAGCAGCTAGCCCTAATTCGTGGAGGTGAAAATGTGTTTTATGGATGGTACTGTCAGATTATTACATCAGCAGCTAGCCCTAATTTGTGGAGGTGAAAATGTGTTTTATGGATGATGTAGTACTGTCAGATTATTACATCAGCAGCTTACTAGTCTTTCTATGTATTGCATCAGCTGTTTTTTGGCTGTAAGAGTCGAATTAGAAACTTCTCTGGTACAACGTGCATGTAATGCTACCATGGCCAAAGGTTGCAAGTTAACTCCATGAAAAAAAGCTGTCATTATTTCTTTGAGCAAAGAGGGAATTTCCACAAGACAGATTGCTAGAAAAATTTATTTTAATCATCTCACCATAGGCAGCTTTTACTGCATGTGTGACAAGGTTTTTAGTGAGTTACATTCATAATTTAATTCCAAAACACTTACCTCTGCTGACACATAACTATTACTCGACCTCCAGGGTTTCTTTCTTTTCCCATCTTAATGATTGTTCTGATTTTTTTTTCACTTGCTCCAGTCTTTTATACCTCACTCAATTGGCCTTAGAGATATTTATCTCATGATATTCTCCACCTATGTCAATATTCCCTCTATCCTGGTACTGTATATAAGCACCTCATCAGATAATGTTATCACTTTTTCACGACAAGGTATCACTAATGGGTTTCCCTGCATAACGATCTTTCGGAGATACTTTGAACGTTATTTTCATCTAGTTAATTTTCATAAAAATTATAATAATTAAAAATAATGTTTTTCTTCTGATTGGCAAGCTGATTTATGGTATGAATTCCTGGATTATTTTTTCTGTCATGGAGGCAAATTGTGTCTCACCTATCCCACCTGTGATATCTAGTGTCGCACAACAATTGGGGGAGGGGAGGGTCACTCTCAGGTGTGCCTACCAGTGATCTTATTTGTAGTGAGATGGAGACATATATTTGGATCTGCGTTTGAGAGCAATCCTTGACATTTTGAAGAGACTTTAGATTTGCTCTTTTCTTCCTTCTATTTGTCTGTTGGATTTTCAGTCCTACTGTGGAACAGTGGTAAGTTTAAGGACTTGCATTGCTGGAGCCTAGGATTCCATTCCCTAAGGTGGGTGCAGCAGATGGCCCAGAGTTGCTATGCTCTAATGAAGCAACTTTAGCTCACAAAATGCTGTTCCAATCAAAGGTAATCAACATTCTTTAAATGACCTATGAAAAACGAAAAGGAGGCCATATTGGGATAAGCTGCTTTTGATCTGTTTTTTTTTTCTTCATATGTGTGATGTATTAGGCTTTTCCTAGGTTGCTTTTGAGTGTACACATTACATGATGGCTGAAAGGTCTGGGAGCAAATTTTTAGTATTTTCCTTCATACACAGATCTTGTGGTTCATGCTGGAAGGTTTACTTCTCAGTTTGGCTTTATCCAAAAAATGTCACAACTTCATGATTTAGCCTTCCATCACCAGGTGGAAATATTTCCCAACTCTAAAATAGTACATCTGCTCCTCAAATTTCAGGGTTTTAAGGTAGACTTTGTAGCTCACCCTGAGTAGTTCAGTGTCCCCTGATGGGACAGAGTAAGTCTATGGACTTGCAACTCTAAAATTCAACATTTTGTTTTTCTTTCACTTCACTTTATTAGAAGACCATCAGGATCACCAACTTCATTGATGACAAGCTGAATCCATTGTTAGCATGCATGTTGGTTCAATTTTTGGCTTCTACATTCCTTCCTGTTGTTGTTGTTGCTGGAGCCTCGAATTACATTGGTTCCTGCAGGAAGTCATAGTTGTTCCACCTCTATTCATGGGTCCCGACCCGCAACATCTGCCCCTTGGTACATTGGTACTCGGAATAGATTCTATCTATATCCAAGGTCCACTGGTAGGTTGGATTTTTGCTTAGTCCAAAAGGAATATATATATCAACAGAAATGACACGTAGCTTGGCAGTGGTGTGTTGGGAAGAGGTTGAACCAATTTTGGTCAGAAGTGTCAACCATGATTCGTTATTTGACCAGGATCTTCGACGGAGGATTTTGAATCTTCCACATTGCTTTGTTTAAGGTGGCCTTATCTACTACCGTTCAATTATTGTGACTACATCTGTTTTTGAGTCCCCCATACTCTCCAGATTCCTCAAGTCGCTTTGGGTCCTTGGTCCCTAATGACCATTTTAGTTACCTACTATGTACATAATGGTTAATTCGTGTTCTGTCTCCACACCTGTTTGTGACCTGACTCTTATATGCCATGTATCCCATTTACATGCAGGTTTATTTTGACCTACGGACATCACTTCATAGTGATTAGCCTTGTTTGTCCACAGATCACTTTCTCATTCTCTCTTTGTCCTCAGACCAGTTCTTCTTACCCAACACACTGTTATCAGTTTACCATTTCTATTTTCTGTGTCCAATCAGATTTCAATCGTGGTCATTGTCAGTGAGAGTCTTGAAGGTTTTGTGGCCTGCATTAATGTATTTAGAGTTATTAGACAACAATTTTTATTCTGGGCTGTCTTTGAAGGCGAGGAAGCTTATCCAAGTCACATCTCATCAGATTTGTCACTTTTCTATGTCCTTAGTGGCCCAGTTGAATTGCCCACTGGAGGTCATGGTGCGGACTGGTATGTGAATCTCCCCTAATACCCTTATTTCACTTTATGTGCATGATCTAGCAGTATCTTTATCTGAGGATTTTTGCCTACCCCCATAGCTATCTTCACCATTTCTGCTAAACTATCCAGAGGGGTGAGTATTTTTATTTCTAACTTTTGGGGTCCATTGCCTTATTTTCACAGGATCCCACTTTGCAACAAGTGTTGCACAGACAAGTGTGCTTTTATCAAATGAATTCTGCACTAGCAACCACTAATTGAATGTACTTTGTACAGATTGCAACAGGCTCTGTAGAAGTGAAGTGTTCCATCAGACCACCTAGGAGCTGACCAGGTGGTATTACTGTTCTATGATGGATCGCCACTCATGCACTATCATGAGTAAAGCATAAGATGAACCTGCCCATCCCTGTTGATCTTTGGATTGAATAAGTCAAGGTTGGTTTGCTTTTAAAAATTTGGGGAACTTGGATCACCTATTGCACTGATCCAGAGCACTGTTCCTCAGGGCTCCCCAATGCGCATTACCCCTCAGATTATACTAGTGGAGCTAGGGAGTCCTTACCATACCTGGTTTCTAGTCACTGGGGTGGTGGATAGGGGCTTTTCATCCAGAGTGTTAGAGTGAATTCCTCCACTCTTGGAGAAGAGGGCAAAGTTGGGAGCTCTCCTACCCGGGTCCCTGGATGTCGGCTGGATGGGCACCGTCTTACACAGGAGTCTACTTGTAATACCGGTTCAGGTCCATGTGGCCCTTCTTTTTGATCAATATAGATTCAGTATGTTGCTCATGGAAGAGGGTCCAATATCTCCTCATAATTCTGAAAGTTGAGTGGTCCCATCCTGGGTCATTAGCTAAGCACAGTTTTCTATGTCCTCTCCATAATTTCGGGGGCAAGTGGAATGTACCTTGCCCACTCGGTTGGGGAGTGAGGATGATGTTCATAATTCCAGACTAGATGAGCTCTGTTCCTTTGGTTGAGTAAGGAATACACTATTCCATCATTCCAAGTCTAGGGTGTTGCCTTTCGGCCTTCTTTAGATGGAGGAGAAAGTTTGTCCCTTCTGTGTTGCTTACTTTTTTTGTCATGATTCTGGTGGCTCAGAATGCATCACTCTATGCCTACTGGTTGGGATCCATTCACATCTATATATATATATATATATCACATTGTGGTCCAATTGCCCTAGCCACCCACTTTGGATATAGGGACCAAGACCCCTTAATTCCCATCCCGAGTAGTGGAACCTCAGCTATCGGGTTTGGGCTGGCCTATAGTTATGATCATTCATGTACAATTCCACCCATGATACAGGAAGAAAGTTCAGGGTGTTGAGCATACCCGTTCTGGATATAGTGAAATTTCCCCCAATAGGGTGCCAATCTTTTATTGGCACACCCATGATCTATGCAGATGCTTTCTTTATAGATAATGCCTTCACCACCCCTCTACCTTATCAATGTGGGATTCTAGCTGTAAGTGTCAGTGGAGGTAAATATGTTTTGGAAGATAAAATTTTCCTAAATTGAAAATGTATTTCCATTAATACTTACCTCATCTCTCACTCTCCTGCCCTTCCTCCCCACTAAGAGCTGGTGTTGGAGATTGAGTCAGTTTAAAAAAAATGATAACATTATCTGAATGAGATGCTTGTATACAGTACCAGGATAGAGGGAGCATTGACATAGATGGAGTGTATCCAGGGATAAATATTGCCAAGGGCAATTGAATGGGGTATAAATGTTTGGAGCAAGTGAGAAAAATCAGACCAATGCTTAGATGAGCAAAGGAAGAAATTCTGGAAGTTGAGTAATAGCTAAAAGTATGGGAAAAGGTAAGTATTATTGGAAATACATTTTCAATTTAGGAAATATTAACTTAAACTACTTTATTTTCATGGTATACCAATAAATAAAGCATAAAACGTAGCTAGTTATACATATTTTAATAATATACAAGGTTTAAGTGTATAAGGCAATATTAAAGAAAAATCCTGAATTTCCCCTTGTGTGAGAAATGTGACATTTGCTCTCTGGGTATCCTTTCTTCTCTAATTGATTGACCACCCCTCCAAGAAGTATGAAATTTAAAGTAAATTATTCATTATAATGTTGTCACTGCTCAGCCAAAGTATAATTTTCATAACCTTCAATCGTGTTTGGTTACAGAGCCATCACATAGAAAATCAAACCCCCCTCTCGCCAAACCCACTTGTCACATCCTTTCTTTCAGGATTTGTCAATAGTTCTATCATATGTTTAATACTATTATAATTATAACCAATAGAAACCAAAGTTTTACTCTATCAAACGACACGTTATATTATTTTCTGTACAGAGAACTACATTTCACAACTAGTTCAAGCTTCATTTTCCATGGAAACACCTTGACAAGCTCGGATGAATTTGTAACGGTTCTTGTCACATAGTTAGAAAAACTGTGATAGTTATGGGAAATTGTCTGCTTTTTGCATGTTATTATTCTATTTTCTTTGGTGCATTATTTAATTAAATGAAAATTATTTAGTGCTCTACTACCATTAGTATAAAAAATTAGGGTTAAGTGTCATCGACAGTTGACAGCAAAAAAAGAAGGCCCCAGGTAAGTACTTTATTTCTTGTTTTTCATGTGTTTTCTTTATTTATTGTTATAAAAGTAACTAAAATGTAAAAATAGAAAGTTTTTTTTAGATTAAGTAAAATGAATATTAATAATAATATTTCATGGAGGCATGTGTGTGAGCAGCTCAGAATAGTTTGTGGGTATTGTAAATCAATAGTGTAACTTGAGCCACATATTTTCCAATATCCTTACAACTTATAATGGTGTGAATAGTAGTTACACAGTTCAAAGGGCAATAAAATATAAGTACAAACAGATGTATACTGTTATGAGTTTAAAGCTACTTAGGATAAACAAATGTAGTTTCAGAAAAAAATTTGAAGTCATTCTATAAAGACAAAAAAAAACAGATTAATTTAGACTTTTTTTTTTTAAGTGGGAATGAGGTCGGTTAAACTGACCACCTTGTTTAGAGTTAGGGTAGAGAAAATAGCAGGTAAAATATAAAGTTTTACTGAAAACAAACATTTGAAATGTATTTAGGAGGTCTTAGAGATTATGCAAATGAAATTTGAGATTTTTGAGGTGAAGAAAAGTATATTTAGTCTTATCATGAAAATCATTGCACTTGGACAAGTGAAAAAAAAAGACTCAATATGATCAAGGACCAATTTTTTAGGAAAAATCTGATTTTTTATATATATAAAAAAAACTTGTAACATTTACTGAAAGTCTGCTGAATTTTGTGAAGATACACACACTATATTAAAAGTTATTAGTATTGAAACTATACCAAGTACAAAGTGGTCATGTGGTTGGTTAGTTTGACCAAGCCCATGTTGAGAGAACTAACCAGTTTACTGTGAGCCACTAGGTGTAGAGATCTAGAGACTGGCTTTGTGGTTCAGCAGAAGAGAAGGGATAGGAAGAAAGCTTCCACAGCAGCTGACAGTTGTGTTCCTGAAGAATGATCATTCATTGTCTACAGATATCAAAAGAGCATGGCAGAAAGCATCAGGGGTCATTGCTGTCATGTGCACAGTCTGGTCTAGCCAGTATTCAGCCGGTCTCCCAGCAAGACAGCCAAGAAAGAAGCCCCTCCTCACCAACAAGGTGAGGCTCTACTTGGGCAAAGAACATGTTGACTGAATTGAAGTAATGTGGAGTAAAGTGACCTTCTCAGACGAATCAAAATCCAACCTGTGCAGGTCTGATGGAAAGTACTTTGTATGACACCAGTGTGGAGAAGAGTTTC